AGCGGAGCTATCTCAGCCGAGAGGCTGCTTGTTTTAAAAATTATAGTAGGAACCTATACCTCATTTTTAAAAACTACTACATCTACACAATTCTGAAACTCTCGTACCACTTACACTGTTTTACGTGGATTCATTTTAAATCACCGCTAGACTGTCTACATGTATGCGCCTCGCTGTGATAACATGTTATTGGGAAATAGTGTATCATTAGTTTCAAAGTACATTAATTGGAGAGGGGAAACTTGCAAGCAAGAACAAAGAATTCCTATCTATGTAAAAACCGAAAGTAAACATTGTTTTTTTTCCTCAGGACATGCCACAATTAGGTAGTAATGGCATAAACATTACGTCATGCAATACATTTCATCACGTGCGTTACTGTCACCGGGAAACGAACAAAGACCCCGATACGAGCAAGCAATTATACCTGTAATAGTAATACCATTTAGCTTCTGAGGTAAATGTACCCGCAGGCCATAGTAAGTTTAGTAATATCAGTTAATTTGAAAATGTATTATTTCGCTGTTATTTTGTAGGTTATTGCTAACTATTACGGCACCCGCAAGAAATATGAACCCGTTCGGACGGTTAAAATTGATTGGCCAGGAGACACACCGCCGGACGATGTACCGGAATGCGGTTTTGAAGGAGAACTGTGCATTGAAAAACGTGAGTAGAATAAAAAGTTTGCGAAACACATGGCAAGCGTTGAGTGTTCGTTGTGAGTTGCCATATCAACCACGGCCGTATCCTACTAGATTCGAGACGTATCGTATTCGTGTCAACTCTGTGTGCTTTTCTGACGGTTTTCTGACACTCAATGGTAAATGACGTCTACGTCTTACCTACACTGAGGCGTTCACGTCATTTCGTTGATTTCTCCTACATAGTAGACTATCGCGCCACTCCATGCTGTAAATTGAATTTAAATCGCATATCTTTAATTACTTGGGCTAAGTGTGCAGCTTTAGTCTACTTTGGCTTGACAATTTGGCAATTACCAGTAATTGCAGTGTTAATCGACTGTGAGCACGATTCGAAATAAACTATAGCGATAAATATGATTCCTTCATTAACCAACAATTAGTATACCCCCATTTGCACGAAATGTAATCTAATACGGATTGCTACGTAATTCCGCTTTATTGAATACACTTCCACGCTATCAAACAAGCACTTTCCGTCTGGGAAACTGTTTCCCTTTTACAAAATTGATGCATTCTTTCCCATTTCCTTCATCCGAGACCCTATTTCAAACCTGGCCGAAGCAGCAGTAAAACAAGCCCGTCTCTCCTGTCATTGTTATCCACCTTTCACAATAAGTAAAGCTTCATGCCGTTTTATAACAAAAAGTGCATAAATAACAACATCTTAGCAATCGCTGACAATTCTGTGAGATGATAGTATGAAGATTGAAATGACACTTTAATGTAGATGCATTCTTTTTTTCTGTGCGAGGCATTGAAACACGTTCGACAAAACACTAATCTCCTGAAATACTTATCTTTATTTTTAGAACCCTTATCGCTGACTCTAATAATTTCGATTGTCTTCGGAAGCTTTTTATTCATTCTGATCATCGTGGCTTTTATAATATACAGGTGAGTGAGTGAATTTTGATCTTAGCAATGCAATGTGGATAGTGTCACCCGGGCTTATCGTTCTGAAGTCACGTACAATTACATGTGGGTGTTATTACTTAGTTATATATTTCACAATTTTCTCGGGAAATTATACTAGACTGTTTTTGGTTCTGTGGTGTTCAAAATACTTGTTTTTTTGTTTTTTTTTTGTTCTCATTTTTACAATACTTTGACATAAAGCAGAACAAAAGTCGAAATCTTTCGAAAATATAAAAATGCTTTTGAAGCCACCAAACATGATTATTTCTGAATGGCAACACTATAATTACGTTTTTATTACAGAAAGTGGAAACTGGAAAAAGCATTGGCTGACATGGCGTGGAAGATACGATGGGAAGAAATCACATTCAACCGGACTAAAAGGGGTCTAGGGGGAAGTCACACCAGTCTCAATTCTAGGGTAAGACATGGACATATATTTAATATTGATCTGTGACACAAAACTTCCACGTGGTGCCAGGGTTGTTGTACCGTATTCATCACACACTGGGTTCATGGACACCATTGCACGCTTCTATTTCTTATGCAAGCGCAGAGTGCATATTATTATTACTTTGGTACTAAAAAAATCGAATGAAATCCTGATGTAAAGTCTTGTGGCTTCTCTCGCTCAGCGTTATATCGGCGGCCATTTTAATACTTTATCCAAATCATTGAAAATACCTCTTCCATTTTTACTAGGACTTTTGTTCTCGCCCGTACTCATTTCACATTAGGCTAGCTATCAAAACTCCTAATATTAATTGATCTCTATCGTTGAGTGAAACATTAATTTCTACATAGTCGTCATGTCCATTTTTTTCAGAGATCAAGTATCCATTCCCAGCAGTCCGTGTGGGATGCGAACCAGCAAATATTCACAATTACTGGAATGTACAAGGTAATATAAAGGTTCATTTCCATACCTAGAATTTTCAGTACAACCGGTACTTCGTAAGCTTTCATATACATTGAATACACCTAACTCTTGCATATACTAATATGGAGGGACATATACAAAATTGGTGTAAATGCTTTTTTGTGTTAACTTGTAGAACAATATCGTCGCTATCAAAAAGATCAACAAACGAAGAGTGGAAATCAATCGACGGATATTAAAAGAATTTAAACACGTGAGTAAAAGATTTCAATATCTATTTCGCAAACTTTAACACAAACAGTCGCGCCCTGGTGCGGTGTTAACTACGTCACTGATTCTGACGACTGGGCGTGGTATTCGGCATCGCCAAAATGCGATTGCTTTTGTGATTACGTGAACGTGCGATTCTCACCAGATCTACGAAGCTATCGTAGTAGTCGAGAACTATGAGCACATGTCAGAACGAATATACTATAAGTCAACTTCTTCTAGACATACCAACTTTCTAATCCAGGTTTAGTTATCACACACAGCATTGATCACTCGGCAGTAAATTTATCTGGATCGTTACTTATATTGACGTGCCTCGATATTGCGTAAATGTATGTACTGCGCAACCTCATGTAAAACTATTAATAGCCTCTACTTTCCGTGTACAGACAGACATCCTTAGCTACAACCACTTAGTATTCAATGTGTTACAATTGGTATATTTACACTTTATTTTGCGACAAGACAAATTATAGCTGCATTTTTACTACAGCTAAGGACGCTCGATACTAGCGATTATGTATATCCAGTATTCACACCTCGTGTTCTAAAAAGCTGCGGTGCACACTTCGATTAAGTGTACAACGGATGTGGAAATAACATAATAAATAATTAGAGACGTATTCCCATTAAATAGTGTCACGAATAACGCAATCGATGCCATAGTACGAACACAGTGATAGTTATCGCGTCAAATCGCGCTATTTCGAAGGCATTGTGGCCGTCTGGTGAAATATATCGTCATTAGGAAGAGACATTAACGCAATAATACAAGGGAAGACGAACGAGGAATGTATTTAACACGATTATATGTCAATAGCACCATTGAATACAAATAATTGTGAATTGCTTCTTGGATCGCTGCGTGTATGCGACGCAATTCTTGCTATGCTCAGAAGAATGCCAATTTCAAAAATCACAGCTTACTGTACTCCAAATCTGGCTGTAATATATTCACGTGTATTGGGTAGCCTATGTCACCATTCGTTTATATGAAAGCAAATACTCGTCGGTGGCATACGCAACAGCGCCCTCTGAGACTATAATTTGCGCATGGAGGATGTCAGTTATTGCGTATGCTATCAAACTTATACGATAACAAGTTGGAAATGTTATTTTATCCTGCTGTTAAGTTTCACAAGTACCTTATTTTTAATTAATATAACAGATGAATTGAGAAATTGTCTCACTTATTTTGTTTCTAGATGAGGGACCTGCAACATGATCACGTGACACGATTTATTGGTGCTTGTGTTGAACCGCCGAATATCTGCGTTATGACTGAATATTGTCCTAAAGGCAGTTTACAGGTGGGTGTATATCTGTCGCGCGTCTTTGGGTGTG